TTTTTTTTTTTTTTTTTTTTTTTTTTGTATTATGCGTTTGTAGCATAGAAGTTAATTTTAACTTTAATTCGCAAGTAACATTTCAATATTTTGTATGAATATTGATTGTAGCAACTGTATTTTCCTAACATTGAAAAATATCTCAAGTTTCGACAAAAAAAAGAAGAACATGGAAAAATTCTCATTGTGTATGCACAAGTTTTCAGTTTGTGATAAAATAAAGCCAAGATTGGAATATAAAAATTTGCAGGTCGCAGTAAAATTAAGTGCACATCAGAAAAATCACAATGTCACAGAGACAAGATGGCCGATCTTTATCGACGTTTGAATATTTTTCTTAATGATCAAACTTCAAAGTGTTTACGGGTTTTAAACGTTGCATCTCAGTCTCGAGATATGCTCCTACTACACGCTAATCAAATATATTGTATATTAATATTTATTATGTTTAAACTTACCGAGATTTCTGGATCAAAATGGTGGCCAGCCAATGAGGCGAGACAAATGTACAGCGTCAAATGACAACCTTGGGACGTTGGTACAAGGGAAAGCTGTGGTCGAAAAACCATCGACGTCAGAACGAAAGACCTGAAGGATAAAATGGAAAGGTCAAGCCACGGATATCCGACGATGCAACACTGGGGAATTGGATGGGAAAAAAGATGAAGAGGAAGGAATCGAGACCAACCTTTCTTTACGTTTCTTTGTTTTGTCTTTGACACATCTTCTTACCCTCCTTCTCCCCACCATCTCCTTAAGAGGGTGGAAATCCGATTGAACGTGAGGGTGCAAGTGACAGCTGGAATTGTTACACCCCAACAGTTGAACACCGTTCGATTTTCGAAGAAACAAGCAGGACAAATTGCTTCTGCGGCTTCGTTAAAATTAATCGACAAACACGGGACTGTGTTTCAAATGCTGCGTCGCTCGATCTGTCGACGCGCTAAAGCGAACTCGCGCGCCCTCTGTGAATGGCTTGCCGGACTAAAACTGTTCGAAATACGAATTATTAGATTAACCAAAAAATAACGACGTCGTTTTGTGTGCAAATTTTTGAGAAACAGAAACTTTGTTAAACAATACGTTGTCCATTTTATTCGATTACCTTTTGCCGTCTTTTAGACAACTCTTCGTGATTCCGCGTTTAAACAAATTTTTATCTTTTTGGATAAAAAAAAGTTCCAAGAATGATTCGACATCCTCATCAATACTGAAATTTAATAAACCAATTTTAACACTGTCGTAGTTTAAATATACACAGATAAGATAATTTTTTTATGAAAGTATCAGCAAAATATGATGAAAATAGTCCTTTTGCCAAACAAACAATTGTTAACGAGATCGTGCATTTTCTTTTTCTAAAACAAGTTTGAACAATCAGGTACCAAATTACACAATGAATTTGCGATTTAAACTGAAGTTGGTTATAATTTAAAATATACATGTATGTCCCTCTGTTAGGAAGAAACGCAATTACTTTTTGGTCAGCCCAACAGGAAGAAAGGTATATAAAGACTGATTACAAAAAATATTGGCATTTATATTGTTACTATAACAATGGAATGCAGAATCTAACAAAAGACTCTTTATTAAAAAAAGTTTATATGGTTTATATGCCATTATTTTTTATAACCACTGTATGTTCATTAAACAAGTTGGGAATATGATTCATATAAGCTATTTATTTCTCGCTTATAAATCATATATAAATAAAAGCTTCCATCTCGCTATATATACACTAGAATAAAAAAAAGTCTTCGACACCTCGTACATGAGTTACCCCCACCAAGGTTTCATCTGACAAGTGAAATAACGACCAGCGTCAATGACCAGAATTATGAAGGACCTTTCAGAGGGTTAAAGCAATCAATAATTTAACAGCGACCGAACTCCGTCAATCTCGAGGAAGGAATCGTGTTCGTTGGTCGAAACTTTATATGTTAAATATCTCAAACTGGCACACAGACAATATATACAGTTATCTATTCAAGATTCTGTACATGGTAACATCTTCTCCAACTCTCGTAAAAGTTGTGCTATATGTTGTATTAACATGGAACCAGTCATCGTAACTGGTCGTAATGTTTTACTGTAACACTGTTTATACAAATTGGTAAGTGTTTCTGGCCTGAAATATACATAGATAATTAAATATGCTTCAAGGTAATATCAAAAATAAATCGAAATAATATACACAGGAGAAAACATACTCTTTCTTGCTGCTATTGCTATTCTTAGTAACGAACAGTTTTGTTAAAGATCGTAAAATAAATTGTAATCGCTGTTCCAACAATATCACTAAACTTTCTTCATCTTCTATTAATTTTTGTTCGTCGACCGCTTTCCCTTCTTCGATAACATCTTTCCCTATTTTATTACTAACAGTATTTACGTTTTCAACCTTTTGCTTTGGAGAACCGTTCCTCTCGCATAATATATCAATAATAGGTCTACATTGTAGAATTAACTGAAGACCATTTTGGTATGCTTTTAATTTACCATTAAATGTTGCAACACCTAAAATACAGTTTTAAGCAATAAGAAAAGATATGAAAGAGTTATTAATCAAATTAAACTGAAAATAAAAATACATACAACGCGCTTGATATTCAGCTAAAGCAACTCTTTCCATTTGCACCGTCAGAAATTCCGTAGTTTGTTCCAAAGCTAGCAAAAGCTTCGCAGCTTTATCATAATATAATTTACACAGTTGCAAACTTGTTTTTCTTTTAATATTATCCGCATCTGGTTCATATTCTCTATATACACGGTGATATAAAGATGCGAGTCGATGTTGAATGGTTGCAGCGCGAAATTGATAGACTGGTTGTCTTGGCCCGGCAGTTTCAATATCACAATGTTTCAAAGCTTTCTGTAAAATATCAACAACTTCTCGTTCTAATTCTTCTTCAGTCTGAAATTATAAGGGAAAACATTATTGTACAAAGTTATTTCCATTAAATATAAATGAGTTGAAATAAACGTACTTTGCATCCAGTTATAGGATAATCTTGTAACAATGTAGCCATGGTAAATAAAGTAGTAGACAAATCCCACGTAATAGTATCCCAAATCATGGGATTCGATTTCCTCGAACCTAAAACTTGCAAGGCTTTCTGATAACTCGCGAGCGCTTTATTGTAAAAATGACGTTCTTGAGTATTCTGTTTAATGTGCATGTGCGCGCAAAGTCGCATAAGTCTTCCTGTATTTGAATGTAAAAGTGCTAAATTTGCTTCGTCGTGAACAGTTTCAAATGCTTTCACACCTGCTTCCAAATGAGTTAACGAGCGTGTAAGTAACGCTGTTACAGCATCTGAAGAGCTTATAGAGTCTTCTCCTAAATTTTCTTGTTGATATCGCGCTGAAAACATGAGTGTAACTTTACATTCAAGCATGTATCTTTTTTAAATATAATAAAGTTAAAGAGTACTTACTTCCAGCTTGATTCATATAAAGTACACCTAACTCGTTATGAATATTTCCTAATCGCCTTAAAAGATTGTTTCTATCCATATCTATCGGTTCTAACGACAGTGCTTTTTCGTAGCATTTATAAGACGCTACTAAAGTAGATTCCAAACTTCCTAAATGTTGTGGCAATAATTCAGCACCATCTAAATAGAAAGTATAGATTTAAATAGTAATTTACAATATTTTATATACTTTTACATACTTATGTCTAAATCTTCCATTTGATATATTTCTTGGACAATCCTCTCTTCAATTTCATTCTTCATCTCGTAATCTCTTCTATGTCTCTCGACGTTACACCAATCTTGCACAGCCATAAAACAACAATCTCCAGCACGACCTAATAGATAACTAATCGACTTATCGTTCCGTATACCACAAAATATTTCCAATATCTTCTGGCAGCGTAGGACTGCTAACATATATCTCAATGAGGCTCCGTAATTTCTATTAGCATACTCATTTTCAGCAAGTACAGCAAAAATCAACGATGCCTTTTCGTATAATAAGGTTTTTAAGTGAACGTTCCAACTAATATTATTGTTTTTCTGAGGTGCCTGCCATGTGGGCAAAGTTTCGGCTTTAAGCTTGCATAGCAGTGCTTTTGGTTCAATCTCGTGAGTTTCTACTTTTGAAATAACTTTTTCAGGTTTCTTTGCTTTCTTCTGCTTCAATTTTCTTTTATGATTAGGACTATTGTTCGCAGAACTGACTTCACAGTCGATTTCTTTTTTATCTTCTTTCTTTAGCGAGATATAAGGCATAGGAATTGCCTGGAAAGGCTTAGCCATATTTAAATGATTTTCTTCGTATTCTCTTTTCTTTTTTTCTTCTTCTTCCTGTTTCTTCCGTTCTTCTTCAGAATTATCGTCAATTGGAAAATACTGTAGGCATTCGAGTCCGTGATAAACATGATCTAAGGCTGCCAAACATCTTTCTTCGATGGTGCCCGAAATTGGTGGCGGTTTATATTTAGGTTCTTCACATTCCCTGTGTTCTTTAACTGAAAAAAAAAAATATATATATATATATATCATTTAGTTCACTTATATATTAAAAATACCAAAATATTAAAATCCATCTTTGGCTTACTATTAGCTAATGTTAATGACTTAATTGCAGTTTCTTCAAGTTCCTCTTCCAAATCCTTTTCATTTTCATGGTTTATACTAGATTCACTTTGCGTATCCTCTTCATCACTCTGATCAAGCAACCCTGGACTAGCAGGATTTGTATCCGATGGTATATAGAGATCAGATAGCATAAAATGTGCAGATGTCACAATCTGTGGGTACTTTTCCTTAGTCAACAGTTGTGTGCAATTTTTCAATAACATTCTAATAGTACCCTGCTGCCTATGATAATCAGAGGAGTATTTCATGTTACGGGCCACTCTGTACAGTAACATAGCAACAGGTACAGTGAATGGATTCTGACCCTTTTCATCTGATACATCGTTACACAAAGAAGTTAAATCATACAACTTTACGACATCATCATCTTTGCCTTTAAACAACCAGTAAGTGTGCCCAGCTTTGGTTGCATTGTTTTTTAAGAAACTTAAAATATTCTGCGCAACATCCCTGATGACTTTGGGACTAAACTTTGAATGATCCAAATTAGGAAGGTCTTCTGTTTTAATTAATTCATACTTTTGCACAATACCATCTAAGTGATAGCACATTACCACTTCAGGTACATTACACATCAAATTATCCAACCAATAATCTATCCCAGTTAACACATTAATGGGTTTAGTCATATCCCTTAATCTGAGACTTATACATGGATGAGTCTGTCCTCCAAATATTGGCATATCAGTACCAATAAGCATTTGTATATTCTCAAAAGTCCAGACAATATTCCTTGCAAAATTGTGATTATAGTTTGGATCTGGTACTTTCTCTTCTTGAGAAGGTTCTGGCAAGCATGGCTCAGATGTTTTAGCAGGTAATTGTGGTTTAATATGCTGCTCTTTGCTATCAGCCACTACAATCGAGTGATATAAAAACTTAGATACCAAGTTTCTCTGCTGCAAAGTATTTCTGTTGCTTGTCTTGTGAAATAGACACTTCTCTTTATCTCCCAAATTCTGAAAGATATGCTCATAAAAAAATTTCTTTAACCATTCCCAATCGTTTTCCGCCTGTCTGAGTAAGTACTTGTGAATATCAAAGTCATCTAATAACAATGTATTTTCTATTCTGTGCACTACCATAGATATAACTCCATGATTGTAAGGCAACTTCAATAGCTTTTTTATATTTTCCGCATCCGACACAACGTCAACTTCCCCCACACAATCAGGAAACATGTGCGCCATACGAAAACTAGAGAAACCAGATGTTTGAGACCATACACTCTGCAGACCATAACTTTCTGCAGAACTGCTGAGCCAGTTGCTTGGTGGTAAGTTTAAATCTGTGTTGCATTGTAATTGAGCATAAGTTGCTGGTGTTTGAACAGCCGAATATTTTACAACGGCGGTTGACTTGACTGGTTTTTTGGATGAATCAGATGGTATAGCCACAGACATAGGCTTGACCTAAAAGTTACACAAATACATGACATTGAAATTCCAATATCTGACAGATTTACTGGAGGTTTGATGATTGACAGCATCAATACAATATTGGTTCTATAGGTTATTTGCATATGGTATTACAGTGAAATATTTCTGGTATAAGGTAAAAAATGTTTTTGATAAAATAACATTCTTAAAATAAAGTATTCAACGTTACTGGTCAAACCAAACGTAACTTACTGTGTCAAGTTTGATGTCCGTACTTTCTGACATTTTTAATTTCGAACAGTGTCACTCGCGTCTTTCAAAGCATGTCGCTCTATTTCAAAATTTCTAGAAAAAACCAGAGCGTACGGAACCGAAACCTAGTTCTCTCACATAATGTACAACCACTGGTTGTGTGATACCATTGACTAAGAATGGAATAGACATGACATTGTATGGGAATTTGTGTCCTCACGTTCTGAAATACCGACCTCAAAAAGAGTTAAACTGCTTTTTGCGCCCTCTACAATACTGTGATAAACACAAGTTATTACAAATTTGGTGTAAAGTTACATTGTATGGTGTAAATTATTTTTTGCAGATCGTTCATTTTCGAAATTTCGAATAACTAAAGTGGAGACTTGATTCTTTAAAATAAAATCAGGTTAATTGTTCTACAACTTTTTTCACGAAATTATAACAGTTTAAAATATTGAGAATTTTTTATCTAACGTATAATTATTTCGTTCTTTTTCGTTCAATTCCTCATGAATTTTGGTATTTGATTTAGGCCAGAGTTTTTTATTCTTTATTCCAAGTTATCATTTCGCGCGAAATGCGCTATTACAGCGCTCTAACGGTGAACTACGGAAAATACTTCCTACGATTCTCGAACGTAATCGATATTTCTCACGATCGATTTTTAAACGGTAAGCATGGCGGAAAGAAGCACACTTCATCTGTAAGAACAAAGTATTATTCAGAAGTTCTCAAGTCAAAATATAAATCAATAGATATTAGTTTGTATTTACGTTGTGAATTTTTAAGACAAAACATTTTTGACTTCAACTCAAGGTAAGATTTAACCAAATAATTATTACATATAATTTTTAACAATTAAAGAAATAACAGCATATAAACATTTAAATGGAACACACCATGCTGAAAGTTATTTATAATTTTATACCAAACTTTAATTTCAATTCTCAAACCAGTACAAATATTGTGATCTTGTAAGGTGACTAACTTTTTACTATGTATATATGTAATATGCTTTTACTTTTATTGTAATATTTTCTGCTCATTTAATCTCATGCTGCGTAATTCTTAACAATTCTAATGCTAAATCCAACAATGATTTATTAAAGATGTACGTATATAGAGTCTAAATAATAATTCTACTGCTAATATAATAGAATATATTTCATGTCTCAGTTTAAAGTATTGACAATTATCATTTTGTGTAAAATGTGCGATTTAAGCGCCCCAACGGTGGAATACGGAATATACTTCCTACGATTCTCGAACCTAAAAATCGATATTTCTCACGATCGATTTTTAAGCAGGAAACATGGCGGAAAGGAGCACGCCAATATTTGTATTATCCAAAAGAATCATCCAGAAAGAAGTACTATCCAAAAGTTCTCAGGTAAAAATATAAATCAATCATTGTTAATTTGTGTTTGAGTTGTGAATTTTTAAGATAAAACGTTTATGGCTACAACTTGAGGTAAGATTTAATCAAATAATTCTTACATATAATTTTCAACAATTAAAGAAATAATAGAATGTAAACATTTAAATAGAACATGCTGTTCTAAAAATTATTTATAATTTTGCACACTTGCTTTGCTTTTAAATACAAATTCTAATATTTTATATTTTGTTACAGATCTTCTACAGTCTTCAGTTTGCCTTATTCTCTAGGAATCTTACAATGCTTCAAAATCTTAGAATGTAAGTACTTTAGCACATTGCACTTGCAATTGATTCTATTCTCTACAGTTCTCTTTCCATTGAAGTCTAATGTAAAATTATAACTAGAAAATAAAAACATTTCAAATTATTAAAATCTCAATTTTTATCATAATTAAAATTTAAATTTTTGCAAGTAACATTTTGTGTCTTTATGCATTTTAAGAAATTCTTCACGGCTATCACGGAGTTCTCAGTGAAATTTACTTAATAAGGATCTTCACAATGACTTTCCCTGCTCCAGTGCAGCATCGATGCACAACATTCTTCACATCTGTCCAGTGAGTCGCATGCATTTATGTTCCTCCGGTCACTCAATAATGTCATAGGACGAAATGTCTGAATTGGCACGGGTGGCTGGTTGTATACGTAGAATTTTTGATGAGCATAGTGATCGTGGGGTATTTTTTATACCCATGAGTAGTAGTACTTTTTTCAGATTTTTTTATGTATTAGATCAGGACAGGATTTCTTGCACATCGCGATTTTAACAATTCGAATATATATATTTATAGTAATTACTTATAAAATCAAAATATCTTCAATATAAATGTTTACAAAAGTAAAATATCCATATGAATAAATAAACAAATAAATTGATACTGGTGATATGTTTTGTTACAATAATTAATAATTAATAATTGTTATAATAATTTTCAATTTAATCTTCTTTTTCATAACGAAAAAGAAAATTAAATGATTTAACGAATTGAATTTTATAATTATGAACTACAGTAGAATTTGAAATATATTAGATTAGAATTCTTTTCGTAGAAAAATGTATGAAATTTTATGTGCAAGAAAATACTTCGCGACAGACAGATTTTTGAATCAAAACAACAAGTTTGAACACTATTTTCGCATTTTCGAAAATGTGCTTTGATGAAGAAGTGAAGCCTGAGATTGTTTATTAATATTTAACTAGATTTAGAGTCAATTGTCTGATTTTGATTGTTTTAGTTTCAATTGTTAAATTTCATATCTTTTTTAACAAATTCAAGTTTTGTTCATTGTCTTTATTCACTTGCAATTTCAATAATTTCTCAAAGAGTAGAGTCATTACAGTTTGAAATAAAATAATGCAATAGCTCGTTAGATACAAATTACATGAACCAATTATTTTTAGTTCGGGATTTTCAGGTTTAACCCCTGCCGTGTTCATTGTCGGGATCTCACTCACGTGCCTAAGTGCTACTCGAGTGGGTGAAAGACATTGGATACGATGATCATAGTTTGTAATTTTACGTGTACGTGTGATTAGGATGTGGAATTGCGTCGTTTTTATTGTATATCATTCATTATAAGTTGTAATATTTGAAATATTTACGTACTAATTTGAAGTATGAATTTATTATAATAATGCCCATTAAATACACTATAACTATATTATTAATTATACGATCAACTATAGTAATGATTTAACTTGCACGTGTAATTCTTATGAAAATTACATGTATTTTTTCTCAGTTATTGATATCTCACATATAGTTGTAAACGTGTTTTAGTCACATTTTACGCAATGTTTCCGCGAGTCATTGTCATTTAGGAAAATGGTGAGATTAAAGTGTGAAAGTTGTGTGTGTCTTAGCCTCTAAACATAATTACATGTATTTAATGGTGAGATTAAAGTGTGAAACTCGGGTGTCTTAGCCTCTAAACATAATTACATGTATTTAATTCCTTCGCACAAATCAAGGAATAAAGTATCTGTAAAGTAATCAGTGAAATAAATTCCTCTCGAGAGAGGAGATCAAAGTTAAAAGAAAAATGGCAAAAAGAAGAACATGTAAGAAATACGATGCAAGAAATAAATCCAATAATTCATAAAAGACGCAAATGAAACCCATCGTCTCTTCTCATAAGTGGCTTACACCATCACAACATTTATTTATCACTTTTGTACATAAGAGAAGGAAGCATGATTATAACAATAGAACGAAGCCCGCGAAAATCATTGTGCCCGAAGCGTGGCCTGTTCTTACGTCAAAGAATCGACGCGCTCCCATCCCCGCCGTGATATAAACCTCCGCAGAAAACAAATATACCGCGGAAAAAAGGTTAAAAACAACACGAGCGCAAAGGCGCGGTTTATCCGCGACGCTGAATGGATTCGGAAGCCCTGAAAAATCTTGACGTCACTGGTTCCTATATAAGACCACGTTCGCCACCCTCTCGACTCAGTCGACGACGGTTGTGCTGAGAATCGAGAGACACTACTGTCGCGCTCACGGGAACATGGTGGTGAACTTCAAGGTGTTCAAGAAATGCTCGCCAAACGGCAAAATCTCCATCTACCTGGGCAAACGAGACTACATCGACTACCTGTCGGGTATCGAGCCGGTAGACGGTGTGATCCTTTTGGACCAGGACTACGTGAACACCGGTAGAAAGATATGGGGACAGCTGGTGTGCAGCTTTCGTTATGGCCGAGAGGAGGACGAGGTGATGGGCTTGAACTTCCAGAAGGATCTCTATCTGGTATCGGAGCAGCTGTTCCCAACCACCAAGAAGACGGAGGATAACCTGACCAGGCTGCAGGAACGGCTGCTCCGAAAACTAGGGCCGAACGCGATTCCGTTCACCTTCAAGTTCCCCCAGACGGCGCCGTCCAGCGTGACTCTGCAGCCGAGCGAAGACGAGGCAGGGGAGCCTTGCGGAGTGAGTTACTACATCAAGATCTACTCCGGGGACACGGAGACCGACGTTACTCACAAGAGGAGCACGGTGACCATCGGCATCAGGAAGATTCAGTACGCGCCCACGAAGCAAGGTCGACAGCCATGCACCGTGGTAAAGAAAGATTTCTTGCTGAGCCCCGGCGAGCTGGAACTGGAGGTGACCCTGGACAAACAGCTGTACCATCACGGCGAGAGAATAGCCGTGAACGTATGCGTGAGGAACAATAGCAACAAGGTCGTGAAGAAGATCAAGGCGCTGGTGCAGCAGGGTATCGACGTGGTGATTTTCCAGAATGGCCAATTTAGAACGGTGATCGACGCGGTGGAGACGCAAGACGGCTGCCCTATTAATCCTGGCTCCAATCTGACGAAAGTTTTATATCTGAAGCCGGACTTGGAGAACAACAAGCATCGCAGGGGCATCGCTTTGGACGGCAGGCTGAAGAGGGAAGAGAGCGAGCTTGCATCGAGCACCTTGCTTCTTTCGCCCGACGTCCGCGACTCATTCGGCATCGTGGTTTCTTACGCTGTCAAGGTGAAGCTCTATCTAGGTGCACTGAGCGGAGAGCTCTCCGCGGAGCTGCCGTTCATTCTGATGCGGCCGAAGCCGATGGATCGGATCAAGGTGGTAAATGAGGACAACTTGGAGGTGGAGAACACGACGGAGGAGAAGGTGAAGCCGATCAGCAGCTAGACGGAAAGATTGACACGTGATTCAGGAGCCGTGGGTGCGCCAGCAGCTCTCAACAGAGAACCCTAACTTCGACTTGATATCGTTCGAGATCAAAACAAACGTTTGATTCTTTGTATTATGTCATTTTAGCAAGGATCAAACACTTAAATATTCTATTTAGACGTTTCGAGAGATTTCGATTTGATTAAATTGTCATTGATGTCGGAACTAATAAATTACCTTGTATAACTGAACTAGAAATTAGAAGGACGATGTACACATATTGGAGACTGGACGAGATACTTTTCGAAAATGACTCGAGGATAATAATCAGAGTAATGTTGAAATCCTGGCAAATGTTGAAGCGAATGGCCACAGCATATGAGAAGTGGGTTAATGATTCTAGAAATCCGATTCTGTCGGCCATCGCTGGAAGCTGCATGAAAGTGAATCGTAACGACGTAATCGAAACACATTTCTCGCGAAATTGCATGCAGATCACCCGTGGCCGTCGTTTATACAGTAGCGTCCTGTAATTGTGAAATTCCTTAGAATAAAGACCACGTACAGTAATGAAACCAGCGTTTTCCCTTCCCTTTCCCAATTTCACGTTTCGCCAAAACCGAGCCGATAAAACTGCAGCAAATAAAAACTCTTGAAATAAAGAAGAAATTACATTCAAAGCATGCCACTGGTTCTCGCACTGGTGTGACAGAGACGAGATAAAGAAAGCACGGTCAATTTTGAACTAGCTTCTAGCGTCGCGAAATATGCAAATAGCTTTTCATCCTCGTACTCTTTCGCGTTTTCTCTCTCCAACCGAGTCGCAATATGAAGAAACAAAGCGTCGTGTTGCTATCGAAATGCTGAATGGCCTCTTATTAATATCTCGCGACGATTAATCAATTACGTCAACAACAGATAACGCGAATTTTTGGCATTCGTTGTAATCACGAATGTACACTGGTTATTAGTCGTACGTATGTACATATACATCAGTAGCATAACGAGACGCGACTTTATTAGTGATCTTTATTAGTATAATTCAAGACAGTTAAGTTAAACAGGATACATTATAGATCACAATTTCGGAGTTTCGTTGTTTACTATAATGAGACACGAGAATATGATTACACTAATCAACTTTGAAACCAATCTGAAATACTGCAAATATATAATTTAGCACAAAATTAATATACAGCACGTCTCGAGCACAATAGATCACAATTTTGGAGTTTCACTGTTTACTGTAATGAGACACGAGTATGTGATTACACTGATCAACTTTGAAACCAATCTGCAAATATATAATTTTGCACAAAATTAATATACAGCACGTCTCGAGCATAATAGATCACAATTTTGGAGTTTCACTGTTTACTGTAACGAGTATATGATTACACTGATCAACTTTGAAACCAATCTGAAATACTGCAAATATATAATTTTGCACAAAATTAACATACAGCACGTTTCGAGCACAATAGATCACAATTTTGGAGTTTCACTGTTTACTGTAATGAGACACGAGTATGTGATTACACTTATCAACTTTGAAACCAATCTGAAATACCGCAAATATAATTTTGCACAAAATTAATATACAGCACGTTTCGAGCATAATAGGTCACAATTTTGGAGTTTCACTGTTTACTATAACGAGACACGAGTATATGATTACACTAATCAACTTTGAAACCAATCTGAAATACTGTAAATGTACAATTTTGCACAAAATTAATATACAGCACTTTTCGAGCATAATAGGTCACAATTTTGGAGTTTCACTGTTTACTATAATGAGACACGAGTATATGATTACACTTATCAACTTTGAAACCAATCTGAAATACTGCAAATATAATTTTGCACAAAATTAATATACAGCACTTTTCGAGCATAATAGGTCACAATTTTGGAGTTTCACTGTTTACTATAACGAGACACGAGTATATGATTACACTAATCAACTTTGAAACCAATCTGAAATACTGCAAATATAATTTTGCACAAAATTAATATACAGCACTTTTCGAGCATAATAGGTCACAATTTTGGAGTTTCACGGTTTACTATAACGAGACACGAGTATATGATTACACTAATCAACTTTCAAACCAATCTGAAATACTGTAAATATATAATTTTGCACAAAATTAATATACAGCACGTTTCGAGCATAATAGATCACAATTTTGGAGTTTCACTGTTTATTGTAATGAGACACGAGTATATGATTACACTTATCAACTTTGAAACCAATCTGAAATACTGTAAATATATAATTTTGCACAAAAATTAATATACAGCACATCTCGAGCGTAATAAATGTTACCTAATACAACGTTTAAACTTAATGTAACGTTTGATGTAAATACCGACGAAGTGAAGCGAACGTTTGTGCCAAATATCCCGAGGAACGTCTACGTACATTTTCAGATTCGTTTCAAACTTTACTAACACAATAACGATAGTCGAGTCACGTAACACGGTGCTAATGGAGTTCCAAAATGCTTCGCGCAACACACGCAATGCATACTCTCGTGAAGCGTGTCTACGAGCCAGTCTCGCGAGCCTGTGTATTCCCGAAAATTCCTCCGAGCTTTCGTCAGCGGAAAAACGCGTGCCCCAGCCATTCAACAAGTTCTCCATTGTTTCGTCGTTTCGAAAAAAAAAAAAAAATCAACGTCGCGTCGGCGGAGTGAGCGGGAGAGTAAGTAACGAGCGAGGACCACGCGGATCGATAGAGCCGATAGGTTAATGGTTACGCAATCGTGGATTCTGGCGAAAATGTGGCAGAGGACAAGGTCGTGGATGCTCGATGACGCAACGCTACGCTCTGGCCTGGAAAAATAACACGGCTGGCGTCTACGACGTCTGGAAACGCGACCACGCGATCGATCGGACCAACCGAGCCGAGGAGTTATCCGCAATTTTGGCAGCGGCGAGACGAAGAAGAAAAAAGAAGGACTCTCCTCTTCTTTCCGCTCTAGAGAAAGAGACGAATAGCACTGTGGACGTTGGAGAAACAAAAAAGGTGACGAGCAGAGAAAGAAAAAGAACAAAAAAAAAAAGAAAGAAAAATGAAAAAAGAAAAAGAGGTTGGAAGGAGGACGATGGGCAGCCTATTTTCGGTGGAAGGCCACAGGTATATCTGGCTGCGACAAATCGAAAGGTACGACGATGCTCGCGATCCTACGACGATTCCCGCGGTGGAAGGTCCTGGCGAAGGGCAGAGCGCCGCCGTCTCGCCGATGCCACCCTGTGTATAGGCGCGTGGTGGGCGTTGGAGGAGCACCGAGCCAGCCATCGAGCTGAGAAACGCGAACCTAACCCGAAGCTCTGGCGAAAAGGAGATGAGGCTACGCGAGACGACGGCAGAGTGCTCGTGAGGGGGGAGGGAGGGCATAGAGGATGGAGGGAGACGTCCAGAGGAGATAAAATTAGAAAGAGAGGTCAGAAAAATGGCGAGACGGCGAACAGGGGAGAGAGTGAAAATCGAAGGAGAACGAAAACGGACAGCAGGATAGCTGTAGCGAAAGAGAGGGAAGAAGAAACGTGAAAACAGAGCAGAAAGAGAGAGAGAAAAAAAGAGAGAGAGAGAGAGAGAGAGAGAGTGAGATACATACAGCGAGGCCAGGGCAAGAAGAACGACAAGAAGCAAACGAGTGATCGAAGGAAGAACGAAGCGAGGCTTCGTTCGGTTGGGATCGGCGCGAGAGACGAGACGCGAAGAGATTGTGATAAAGAGGGAAGGAACGATCGCGGTGGCGCCGCGAGAGAGAAAGAGAGAACGGCAAGGGGGTTCGGTCGGTCGGCAGGCTCGGCTGGTGCGTCAGTCAGGCTCGAGACACCCGCGAGAACGGAGCGGTGGTTGCCTCCCTTATTCGGTACGTACGTTCGATGCGTCCCCTCCATCACCCCCTGCCCACCTAACAGGAGTCTCGTCTATCGAGGCAGTGTCGCGCAGAGTGTCGTACGAGGCGTATTGTACCGCCTGTCCGTAGTTTCTCCCCTTCCCCCCTACTATTCCGTACGGTCGGTGTTTCTCGTACGTTTTCCACTCGCAACCCTCGTGATTTCGATTTGTGCCGCGTACGAACGAAATATCCTCGGTGGAGCTACACGTACCTACCGGGAAGAGACCGGGCGAACGATCGAAGCAACGTGAAAGGAGTGGCGGAGCTCCTGCAGGAAGGAACCGAAGGAGTTTCTCCCGATAAGATCGGGCGAACCCCCCCTAAAAAGAATCGGAGACAGTGGCGGATACGCTACGCTAGCGATCGAGTGAGTATTGTATCTCGCGGAGCCTTGACTCTGCCCTCTTCTCTCTCTCTCTCTCTCTCTCTCTCTCTCTCTCTCTCTCTCTCTCTCTGTCTCTCTCTTTCTGTCTCTCTTTTTCGCTCTTTGCTTCTGTCCTCTCCTTCTGAAGGCTCATTCAACTCCGTTTCTCTTTGTCTCCTTCTCTCTCTCTCTCTCTCTCTCTCTCTCTCTCTCTGTCTCTCTCTTCACACGTCGACAGCCTTTTATTACGATCGACGATACGCGTGAAACGCGTGTCGCGTGTATTTTTCTGGCTGACCTGTGTTCGATGTCGCGCGCAACAGACACCGAACGGCGAAAACTCACCGATACGCGATGAGTTCCTCTTCTCCCGCGGCAGACGGTGGCATTGATTTCCTCCTCCCGTCCTCTCGCGCCGGCCGTTTGCCCTTCCCTTCCCCTACGTGCACGCACGATCGTAATCTCTCGGCCCTTAAAATCGCCAAATACGAAACTCCGGCAAATATGTCGCTTTAAACGACAAGTTAAAGCCCAACGGTACACGATGGAACGCGAATGGAACGGAAGAACCTAGCCTGAAAATGGCAATGAAGGATACAGTCACGCGTGAAAACACGATGGCTGAAGTGATCGTTACTCTCCGATCCTCGAATATTTGCTTTGAAAAGGGACGGAAGTGCGCGTGTCGGTAGGCGAACCGCTCCCGAAACAGATCGAACGGAACGTTTGTTTGCACAATCGAGGCGAAGGATGATCGTTGATACTCCGTTAAAGCAGCCCAAGCGGAGGAACGAGTTTCTCCGGCGTAATTTCGACGCGAAACTCTCGCTCAACCTTGGAGCGAGCCGCCTGGGACTCTCCTCGGCTTCGAGGCTGGTCCCGGGCGTTGAAACGCGGCCAGAGATTTTAAGAGTAGAATCACGGAGTCACGATGTGCCTCGAAACACCACCGTCAAATTCCGGGCATCCAACGTGCGGCGATGGAACGCGAACGTGTCACCTTATTCGAGCCCTGATACTGTACTCCTCTCTCTCTCTCTCTCTCTCTCTATCTCGTTGGAGAAATGGCGTGATTAAGATATCTCTATTTATAAACAGTGTAACGTGTGTTTAGCACGCAGAACGGAATGGTTGTTCCGGTTTCTCGCACGCGTCTTTGTTTACCAATGGTGTAAAACCAAGAGCGCTTGTTGAACGAACGTTCAAACAGAAGGAAGGGCCAAGGTGGTTTTTGGAAAATTTTCGTTACGAGAATGCGTAGAGATTCTGTTCGAATGGATACGATATGCTTCGAGAAAATTAAAGGGGAATATCGAACACTTTTTTCTCATCGAACACTTTATATATATCGGAGACGGTTGAAGAAAGAAAAAAAAAAAAAGAAAGAACAACTTGTTCGGTTCAAAGACGTGAACTTTTGCGAACGTGTAATCAACGATATATTTAATTCTCGACTGGCGTCATTAGGCCACTGGGAACCACAACAGTTTAAAAACAAATTAGTTACTTTCAGAATTTAATAGCCTTAACATAAATTACTATAGTTATCTATGATTCAACGCTACCGTTTCAGGGTCGATGTTTGAAATGTTCAATTATTATCTACCTATTATATACATATATATATTATAATTATCTTAATATATAATATAATACTTAATTACTGAATTTTAAATCCCTTCCTCCTTATCATGTTCTCTCTTCGTAATCTTTACACTCTAGTTCTTTAGTATGGGAGAGTTAAAAGAGTATAGATTTCTGCACAATTTCTGCATAACCAGAAAGTACCAAAGGATCCTATATCTAACGATTGCAATGTTTTTGCAACTCGAATGTCATTTTATTGCTTGAAAGTTGCTTGAAAGGTCGCTTCAACGCGAACATCACTTCAGGGAACATCAAATTTTCCGGTATTTTCGTGGGAAGAGCCATTCGATCACGTTTGTTTGTCCACGTACGACGATAACAAATATCGCTGTGGCGCATTTGCTCGATCCGATACGTTTTTCGTTCGACGCGAGCGCTCGTTTCAGGTACGTATCGGCGCTTATCGTTTGGCTCGAACGCGAGCCTGGAAATCGAGAAGCACGGAATCGTCGACCTCGAACGGCCATGCTTTCATACAGTATTAGTCACACGTAGCCGGCCGATGAATATTTCAACGTTACAGCCTGCAACACCGTTTGCCCGTGCAAATACACATTCCGCGGGTCGTTTTTCCATTGCGAAACTAACGTCCGCGTCTAATCCGACTGCGATATAGCCCGGCAACAACAACAATAAATACGGCGGCGATCTTACCGGCTGAACCCGCATCGATTTCACTGTACGCGAGTAGCGTGCACACTTTTCCTGCCTCGAACGCGGGAGTCAACCTCAAACTATTGTCCCAGTTACCGTCAAATGGCTTCTGTGACAACTTTTAACGAGGCCTGTCGCCAGAGAAAGCAAAGGCATCGCGCGAAGAAATTTGATTTCTGCCTGCTTGATTAACAAATCTACGGATCGTTGCACGTGTTCGTGGGAAATTGGAAGAAATTGCAGAGAAACAAAATTGTACACGCTAAAATTGCCCCTCGTTTAAAAGGTCTGAAAATGTTAGCGGTTAGATAATAACTTTTTAATGATAGAAGAACGGAGAGGTGACAGCTGTAGACTAGATTGTGGATATTTTCACGCGTTCGTGGAAAATTTAAGTAAAAATGAACATGATATGCAAAATATATAATATTATATAATATAATATTGTATGTACTAATATATAAAAATATATAATATTATATTTAATTATATTTAATATAATATAATACAAGAAATTTTAATATAATATAAATAATATAATTATTTAATATAATACAATATAATAAATTTTAGTATAATATAAAATATAAAATAAAATACCGGTAAATGTAAAATATAAAAGATAAAATGCCGAAAATAATGTACTTATTACATTATCACATTATTAATGTAGCAGCGAAAACAAATTTCTGGAATATATTTCCTTAATTCTGTTCATAAAAATTTGAAATTGCACAAAGATCCTCGTGTACCGATTATTCTTTTGGAGGACAACGTTATGCATATATGCATGAAGATTTGATACTAGTCTACATGCATAAAGATGACGCATATGCATACAGAAATTGTATTCCACTGATTATTATTAATCTCTTGAAGGATATATGGAATACACATGGAATATATATATATATATATATATATGGAAATATAGATTCATTCAGTGGGATAAGCTGTATTAAAAAAATATTTTGAAACAAGGATTCCTACAAGAAAATATATTCTTTTGTACATATCAAGTATATAGGATTTCATCAAGAATTGTATTAAGGAGTGTTAGCGACGAATTTTCGCGAAACGCGTTCGTTGTTCTTAGCTAGTGGCAATTACCACTCGTGTTAGCATTGCAAATGCGTTTGGCGAACGGTTGAACATTGTTTCGTTATCTAGAGTTACTGTATGGTAAACCAGAAGACAAACTCCTCCGGTGAAGGAAAAAAAGAACGATCAAATTCTTCGATCTTTGACGAAGCGTTTACCGACTGAATAATTCATTGCCGTCAGACCAATCGCCAAACCTTCATTTGCGCTCGCCAATATTAAATTACTTTGCGATACTTTTGCTTTTCAATTCGTTCTATATACGTGATAATTCTAAACTTTTATCTGGCAGGAATGAAGTTCTTCATTCGTGATTTTTCATAAAAAAAATTTGGTGCCTGATCGTTCAAACTTGTTTTGGAAAAAGAAAATGCACAGTCTCGTCGATTTTAAAACAGAAAAATCAAAAGGGGACATTTTCGTTATATTTTTTTGATAAAATGATCTGCTATATGTATATATAGTGAAGAAGCCTTGATATTATTGCAGTGTCAGAATTGTTTGAATTTCTCAACTGATAAGGATATCGAATCATTCTTTTTTTTATCGAAGAAATAAAACTTTTCCTGAACGTTGAATCATATTTCAATTATCTGAAAGATGGCAAAAGATAAGTCGAACAAAATATATATTATTATATATTTAATTAAAAATAAATCGGTCAATCTATTAATAAAGTTTTTGTTTCTCGTGAAAAATTCGCTTTTCATTTGCACAGAAAAAAAAAAACTCAGTTACTCTTTGGCCAAACTAAAATACTTTAAAATATTTTCTATATACTTTGCATTTTTGTATCCATAAATTTGTATATCAGTTTCCATTTGCCCACTTGTATCGGTTCATACACATCTGTATCCTCCATTTTAATAAATCCCGGTCAATCGAACCTGTTTCCTAACGTAACAAAAATCGCAATATAATCTTTCTCTTCAAATTCTTATCCTCTGTGAAAGCACGTACCTTCCGTTTCCGAACTTTTGATCGACAGTGTTGCTCCTACACGTACAGGGTGCCCCTATAATTTAAATGCCAAACGCGGGAAACGCATAGGGGACTGATGAACTGAAAGGAGATTTTACTTTTAGAAGATTGCTCGTTTTTGCTCCGTTTTCGAGAAAAATCGGCGAAAGGAAAGGAACAAAAAAAAGTTTTTATTTCCCCACTTGATTAACACTCATTTTACACTCAATTTACGCTTATTCGCAATTATTGACGTTATTAGCCATTTTATCATTCACATTATCATCTTGCAACATCTAATGAAGATACTGTATAACGTAAGCATTGTATCAAACATATATTGACTACTCTAATTGTAGCTAGACATTATTCTGACAATATTTGGTTGCGCTTCAACTACGATTTTCTCTCTCGGTTTGATTCGAGTCAAATAATAAATTTACCGAATGAGCGAGAAAAATTAAAACTTCTCTGTCTTCTGTTTTCTTCTTTTCGCAATTTTCTCTAAACGATCTTCCACTTTCTTCTCTATACGCTCTCGTGTAGCTTTGACATTCAAACTCGGGACACCCCGTACATTCGGCAGAGGACGGTTCGTTGGATTCACGTTTCACATTCGATACTGCGCGTGCTGGAAACGT